GTGAGAGCAATTGTAGTGGGCATTAGCCCTTCCATGTTATATTACCACTCTAAGCCATCGATCAATTAGGTCATAACATGTACCGGAGATTGGGGGTGTTGCTAGAGAGTTTCAAACCAAAAAAAAATAAAAATAGAAAGAAAAAAGAAAAATAAGAAGGAGATATCAAGACGATAGATGCTTGATATGACAGAAGAAACGAACAACACTAGAACACCCTCCAACCACCCATCTGAAATCTTTTCAAGCCAATGTGACCTACATTTGCAGCCGGCATTGTCAGACGTGTATGTGGGTCTGTCTGGCCACTCATGGAAACACACTACTACGCTGTTACTTTTACATCTTTTTCTGCTCATAATTTCGTTCGAGCCGGTTGATACAGGAAACGGTTCTAATAAAACAAGGTTTATCAGAATCAGATCCCTGACCGGCCCCTCCCCCCCTGGCCACTTTGACTCACTGCCAGGTTGGCGAAATCTAGAAGTACAGGCGACAGGAATTGTTTACGTGCGTGCGCGCTGCTGTGAGCTATTTTTAGAGGTTATACCAGGTCAAAGTTCAAAGTTCTCAGCTGGTGAGTATTTTCTCCAGGAGTTCCCACGGTGGGAAAGATAACCTTGTATTTAGTATTTTAGTTTCTTTAGTAGAGGTTTTACGGCGCTCGCAACTGCATAAGCTCATAATATGAGCGCTAGAAGATTAGAGGTGTTACAAGAGAGCAACAAACATAAAAAGAAGAAGGGGAGATAAGGATGATAGATGTTTGATAGGAAAGAAGAAGCAAACCACGCCAGAGCACCCGCCAACCACCCACATTTAGTATTAATTTAGTATCCAGCTCTTCATATAGTGAGTAGTCTAGTACTTTCGCGTTTAGATAAGTAACCTATTAAAATATGCAAATAAATGTAGATTAAATTGGCTTGAAAAGATTTCAGGTGGGTTGTTGGAGGGTGCTCTAGTGTGGTAGGTAATTGCTGCTTCTTTCCTATAAAAAAAATCTATCTATCTCTACATGTAGGCTACCTCCCCTCCTTCTTTTTTGAGTTTGTTAAATACTCTCATGTAACGCCTCTAATCTTCGGCACTTATATGACCTTATTGTGTTGCAAGTGCCGTAAAACTCTTACTAAAACTTTTTAAAAAACAATTATATTAAGTAGTCTAGTACTTTCGCCTTTAGATAAGGAACCTATTAAAATATGCAACTGAATGCAGGTCAAATTGGTTGGGAAAGATTTCAGGTGGCCCCTCCTTCTTTCTTGTGTTTGTTGCTCTCTTGCAACACCTCTAATCTTCGGCACATGTTCGACCTTATTGTGTTCTTTAGTTCCATCCATATCCCCATTTACATAGAAAGCTTCTACATAGAAGCGGAAGCAATACATTGGCAAAAAAGATATTACTAATCCGAATACAGGATAAAGAGGCTAAAACAGCACCTGGACATGGATGGCTGGTGCCTCTATAAATAAATCATTGATGGTCTGGTCTGGTCCATATCCCCATCCCTACCAC